GAAAACAGCAGGAGTCAATGCGTTTGAGTTAGGAGTGGAGGTAGGAGAGATGCATTTACCTGTGAAAGTAGAGAAGGCATAATAGATAGATATATAATGAGCTAAACAAATGATCTATACAACTCAGTTTTGTCAAAATTTTGAAAATTGTTCTTGTGTTCATTGAGATATTAATTAAAATCTTACTTTTCAAAAGAGGTGTACTATATATATACAGTGCTCAGCATAAATGAGTACACCCCTTTTGAAAAGTAAGATTTTAATCAATATCTCAATGAACATAAGAACAATTTCCAAAATTTTGACAAAACTGAGTTTTATAGATCATTTCTTTAGCGCATTACATGAAAGTATGGTTAATAATATAACTTAGATTAAAAAATCTTCCGTTTTACTCAATTCAGTTGATGCAAAAATGCATACACCAGTATTTTGTATGACCTCCATGATTTCTAAGGACAGCACCAGGTCTTCCAGGCATGGATTGCACAAGTTGGTGACATATTGCAACATCTATCTTTTCCATTCTTCAAGAACGACCACTTATAGGCCTCTTGCACACGGTATTGACATTTGAGCATCTGCTTCTTTTTTTTTTAACGTAATTTCAGGTGCTTGTTTTGCATGTATTTGTGGTCATAGGCAGTCGCACAGTTGTGCGCACAAGATATTCTTAGGGAAAATTAATTAAATTATTATTCATTTTGATTTGCGTGCTTTTGCATATACACGGTGTAAAGTACTGACCAAAAATGCAGATTTTCCTATTTCTTTTTACTGAGGGATATCCTTATCACTTATTTTTGCACCTGTGTGCAAAGGCACATTGTGAATAATGGGCTATATTTTACCTCAGTAAAAACAACCGCTGTGCTGAGCTTTTTCAAGCTGCAGTGTGCAAGAGGTCTTAGAGTCTGTATTCTGGATGGAGTGTTATGCTCGACATCTCTCTGTAGAATTCCCCATAGGTGTTTGATTGAGCTCAGATCAGGGAGACATACTTGGCCATTGAATCACTTTCACCCTGTTCTTCTTCAGAAATGCAACAGTGACCTTAGATGTGTGTTTTGGATCATTGTCATGTTGGAAAAGTGCACAATGACCAAGGGCATTGAGTGATGGTAGTATCTTCCCTTTTAACATAGAACAGTACATCTGTGAATTCTTGATACCATCAATGAAATGGAGCTCCCAGACACCAGCAGCACTCATGCAGCCCTACAGAAGGACACTGTCACCATCACTGTAGGCTCTATACATTTTTCTTTGTATTCCTCACCTTTGCGACGCCATACAGTTTTGAAGCCATCAGTTCCAAAAACATTTCTCTTGGTCTCATCACTCCAGAATACAGAGTCCCAGTAGTCTTCTTGTTCAGCATGGGCCCTGGCAAATTCTAAGCAGGCTTTTTTGTGCATGAAGTTTAGGAGAGGCTTCTTTTGTGGACGACACCCATGCATGCCATTCCTCTGCAGTGCACACCGTATTGTGTCACGGAAAACAATCACCCCAGTTTGGCTTTCTACTTCTATAGCTAACTGCAGTGAATTTGCATGGCAATTTTCTTCAATGCTTCTCATCGGAAGACGCTCCTGTCGAGGTGTTAACTTTTGTGGACAGTCTGGACATCTCCATGAGATGGTTGCAGCTCCATCTTTGTTACATTTTTGTATCACTTTTGCTACAGTATTCTGACTGAAAGGTAAAGCTTTGCTGATCTTCTTGTAGACTTCACCTTTCTTGTGTAAAGAAATAATTTTCTTTCTCAGACCTTATGACATTTCTCTTCCTTGTGGTGCCATTGCTGACAGCATAAAATAGGAATGGGTTTTCTCGGTTAAGTAACACCCTTTTATAATCAACTGTCTGCTGGACACCTGTTTAATGGCCTGTAGTTGAATTCTTCTTAACTAGGATTTAGTTGTCTAAAATTTATCTTTGCTTCAGACTTTCATTGGGGTGTATTCATTTATGCAACATGGTATTGAATGAATTTGTTAGGAAAAATACTTTTTGTGTGTGCAAATTAACAAATTTGTGGGAGTATTTTGTAGTATAGTATAATATAGTATAGTATAATATAGTATATAGTATAGTTATTTGGCCACCCCATTTAGTTTTCAAGAACTTTTTTGTTGTTGATGATTCCTCTTGTTCTTTTTCATTTCTAAAGAGAAAATGGTACAGTTTATTTTAACAAGGCTATCTTTCTGTTAATGAATGACTCGGTCAACCAGACATTTACACAGGTCTTATGCTGTTTGAGCCCCATTCTTTCCACCAACTGCTGCCTTTTAGCTATCACAGTTAGATCTCTATTCATCTCTAGGAAAATGGGAGTTTCTGCATAGCACATTTGTCCTAACACTCAGACATAAGTGAATACAAAATGCAGACAGTTGTATTTTATGTCAGTGAACATAAGGCCAAGTACCTACTCTGTTTTCCATGGAGTAACCTCTGTTCCTTACAGACTGGAAATGTGGCATAAACTGTTTTGTATTTCCTCTCTCTTGAAACAAAAAATGGTAAATAAAATCCTGTAACATGAGAGTAAAAAGTTATGGTTTGAAGATGGACAGCATGCCAGTAATCTTTTTTTTATATATGATAGGGCATGATCCCAGCTAACCTGAACTGACTACATTTTATACTGGTAATATAAGAAGATAAGGCCTTACGAATAGAGAAAAAAAAAACTGCATGATTGATGTTATGCATAAAATATTAGCTTACTAGAAATTACAATGAATTGGATTAGACCAATATCTTAATCACTGGAGTCTGTAGGTACACCACCTTTGGTGGCCCAAGCATCACCCCTCTTCTGGATCACATCATTGTCCTTAAACAAGCTTGATATATTGTGAAATGTGTAGTTGAGCTTATTTGTATTTCTACTGATAGTGGAAGAAAATGTGTCCAGTAACTATGCAGGGTAAAGCCTTTTGCTTCAGCTGTCAGTAGGCACAGTTCTGCAGTATCTAATAGTAAACACAGCCCTACATAAAAGACCTTGTAATACAATGTAATTTCAAATTTAATTTTGCACAGGAATGCAGCTAACAGTGAGTGATTCTGACACTGCCCCTGAAGATCTCTTGTATGAACTGGTGGAAACTCCTCGCTATGGGATTCTTATGAAGTCTGAAGATGGCATACAAACCTCTATGAGTGCAGGTAGACATGCAAAATATGTTACATGAATACACTGCATGTTTTGTCATTTCATATGGTAACACTGGTGTATAACACAGTGCGATATTATGATATTATATGCAATATTAGGATTTTATAATTGATTATATAGGTAGATGGTCCTGCATTTGTGAGAACACAAAGGTTTGGGTGTAGTCCTGCTGGATAGTCAGTGGTACATCCCTGGTGGGAGTGACTGATTTCCCATACATCTAAGCTTTGATATGTGCTATTTCACTGCTGATAAGTAGGCATGCAAGGGTTAAATTGTGGAATCAGTCCTTCCCTAGTGCCTTCAGTATTAGTAATGCAACTGACTAAATGAAATAACAGAGAGAGACATTATTTCTAGGTCATTAGCCTCTTCAGTACCAGGCACTTTTACCCCCTTCCTTCCCAGGCCAATTTTCAGCTTTCAGTGTTGTTGCATTTTGAATTCAATTGTGCGGTCATGCAACACTGTACCCATAAAAAGATTTTATATTTTTTTCAAATAGAGCTTTCTTTTGGTGGCATTTAATCACCACTGAATTTTTTATTTTTTGCAAAATAAAAATAAAAATCTTTAAAAAAAAAAAAAAAAAAACGCGTTTTTTCCTCGTTTCTGTTATAAAATTTTGCAAATAAATACAATTTCTCCATAAGTTTAGATCAAAATGTATTCTGCTACATTTCTTTAGGGAAATACCCCAAATTAGTGTATATTATTTAGTCTGTAGGAAAGTTATAGTGTCCACAAACCATAGTATATATATATAGATCTGGCAATCAATCTATGTACTGATGGCCCATCTCATTTCTTGAGGCCCGAAAAATTCCGGGATAGTACAAATACCCCCCAAATTACTAATTTTTGGAAAATAGAGAGCCAAAAGTATTTAGTAAGAGGCATGGTGAATTTTTTGGAGGTTTTAACTTTGTTACAATATTTTGGAAATGTAGAAATTTTTTTTTTTTTAACATATTGTCACCAGTTCAATACAGCATTATTATATAACTGGTGTGGTGGTGATCAGGAACACTGACTGATGACAGTATGTAAAAAAAAAATTTTTTTTTTTCAGCACACTGTGACCAAAGCAATATAATGTTACCATAGTAACATTGAACTACTCTGGGCAAGTGATCGGGATTTTTTTTTTTTTTTACACATTATGATTGCTAATACCAATGTATTTCATTGATATTTGCAACCATTGTTACTGAATGAAACTGAGTCATTCAGTCTTTTGTTGTGATTAGCTGTGATTGGGCAGGCTCATCACATGAAACAGATGGGCTGTGACTGGCCCTGTCTGTACCATGTGACTGCTTTGACCAATCACACCTAACACAATTGTATACAATGGATGGCATGACATCCATTGTATACATTTGATATGTGATCTGCTGTGATTGGTCACATGACACTGACAACGGGCCGGTTTAGTGATATATCAGTGGCTGAGTCCTGTGGACACAGACGGTGACAATTAGCGCCACTGCGCCGCCCCACGGCCGTGTGAGAGGCTCCTTCTGACAAGACATCATATCTCCCCAGTCAGAAGGGGGAGTGTCCCACCGGACCTTCAGTCTGCTATAGGTCGGGCAGGAAGGTGTTAAAGACACCACTTGAGATGAGCAGGACCTGTAAAAATAAGTATAGGTGTAAAACCTATGTACTGATCCATCTCAATGTCACAAACATTTAGATTAAATAACATTTTAACAATCTTTTTTTAGGTGACACATTTACATACGAAGATGTCAACAGAAATGCATTACAGTATGTACATGATGGTTCTGCAACTACAGAAGACAGCATGGAGATAGCAGTCACTGATGGTGTTACCTCCACCACAACTCTTGTGAAAGTTGTCATATCACTGGCAAATGATAATGGTCCTCGTCTTGTCCCTGGTTGCCTGTTGTCCATCACTGTGGTTAGCAAAAGTTCCGCTATTATCACAAGGACAAACCTTGCTTACATGGTTAGTTCATTTTTTTTAATATTTTTGTACAAACATTTTGTAACACACTATAATGCTATAAAGAGAACAACTAACAATGAAACCTTAGTAAAAATATATACTTTATCTGTGCTAAAAATCCACAAACATAATATGCATTGACATTAATTGAGAAGAGCTGCTTTTTGTCATACATAAAATCTACATAAAACCCCCAGAAGAGTACAGCTCTCTCAATTCAATTCAAAGAGCAAATATCATGCAACAATCACAATAAAGCTGTTCATTTGAGTTTATAAAGTGTCCAACAAATAAAATGCATAAACAATAGGTGAGTTAAAAAACATAAAATTTCCAGAGGAGTAACAATCTCTCATTTAAATTGAAAGTGCATATCATGTGCAACAATCGCAATAGGCAGTACAGATGTGCTCATAAAGTGTCCATTTTAAAAAATTGGTGCTCCACTCCAGAGAAGAAGGTATTAACTCCCCCACCACAGACACTCTTCTTCATAGACAGAGACCTGCTGATCCAAAGTGACCTCCTAACCTAATAAGTAGGTCTTAGCAGGCTTCTGTATGAGTCTTGAGGGGAAGGAAGAAGAAGACCATCATAGCGCAACCACTCTTTTGAGTTAAAAACAAAATCACTCACTCAGGATAAGTGGCCATCTAGTACTAAAGTATGTCAGCTCATTCTCTTCCAGACTGCACACACAATGCGTAAGACATCACAGTACTGTAGTTCTGCCCAGGGGCGGACTGACAACTCATGGGGCCCCGGGCAATAGGGGATCATGGGGCCCGTGTCCTTGCCCAAACTCAAAAAAGCCTATGAAAAAGGTACCAGGAGCATCTCATGGGGCCCCCTACTGACCCTGGGCCCTCGGGCAGTGCCCGAGTTTCCAAATGGTCAGTCTGCCCCTGGTTCTGCCCAACTAGTTTCATCAAAGCCAGACTTCCATTTTTGAATGCTGTATTTTATGGCTCAGTGTGCAGTCAAAAGAATACTGCTGGCAGGCAAAAAGGAGACAAACAGAGTTTCAATGATAAAAGCCTGCCAGCATTTTGTAACCAGCAGCTAGTTCACGTTTTGGCTTTCTTTACGTGGGGATTGGGGGTGTTAAAAACAGGTGGATAAACCAGAGTTTTACTGCCAAGCATGCAGCCCCTGAGGGTTGTACACAGGCAAGGCCACAATGCTTTTGCAGCTGGCAAACATTATACCCCCTGCCACGTTCGTTAGGCAGTACCGCCACCAAACGTGCAATTTAAGTTAATGGGGCTGTGCTGCAACTAGAAGCCAAATGCTTGGCACAGGGTTGCAGGGCAGTATTTACATGCACAATCCACATTCAGCTGTGAAAATCAAAAAAAGGTGGCATTCACAAGGCTTCGCTATTTCTATATTGTTTCTTAGCGAAAGAGAGCTAAGATTTCATTGGTTTGATGTGTGATATCCTTGCTCAGTTTGCTAAAAATCAATCCTGTTATTTTCCTGTCAGTTTTCAGTTTTTTTGGCTCTGCGACCAAGCATTCACAAAATAATCTGCAAAAGAGTGAGAAAGTAAGCAGTGATAAACAACACAGTTGATGTTGGTTGATTTCAGGCCATTATTTATGACAGGCAAAAATGTGTTTGAAGCAAAGACCGCAAACCAGAAGTAATTTAATCTGATATTTATTAAAGCGGTTTTGTTGTTTGCTCTTGAAAGTGTTTGTTACGTTAAAAGTGAAAGTTCCATCATGTTTGACACTAAAAACACACCTATATGTCTTGTTAACCTTTATGTCTTGTTAAGCAGAATTTAGATTTAAAAAGATAATAAAAGCAATGGCATTATTTATTACATTGCATCACCTCAACACCCATTTGAGACACATATAGCAATTAAATTCTAACAAATATTCTAAAGCTGGCAATATACATTTATATTTCTTTTGTTCAGCTTGTTAACAGTGTGGGTGGATAAACCCCCTTCCTAGGCAATTGTATTCTGAAAGCCACCAGTGCCTTGATTGGATCTGCATCTGATTGGATGCAAGTGCTGTTTGGCTGACAATTTTCAGACAGGCTCCTTTGACAAAAGTCAATTAAACAATCTACTTTTTTGAATGTAACAGTGCTAGGAGGGCCATACACTGCTTAAATTCCTGCTGATTCTGCCGAAATTCAAGCAGAGTATAGTCAGCTTAACACTTGCTTGCTTAATCCAAAAAAAAAAAGTTTTGACTGGAGTCTGCAAATCTTTCTGCTTTTCGTATCTGTTAGACACCATGGATATGGACTTTTAGCAGCTCCTGTTTTGAAGCACAAAATCCCTGATGCTTTCCTACCCCTGGGGAGCATGTGCCACATACAGCCACCAATACAAGTGAATAGCTGTATGCGGATTTGCTCAGGTAACATGGTTTTCTGCACTCCATCCCCTCCCCTTATGCGAAGCACCCCATGCATGCTTGCTCAGGTAAACGCCAATACAAAAACAATTGCATTTACCCGAACATGGCCCTGTGCAGCCATTCATTTGTATTGGTGGCTGTGCATGTCACATATTACTTACAGGGTGAAGGAAAGTACCAAGATTTTTACACTTCAGCATACAGGAGCTGCTATACATCCATGTGCATGAGGCCTTAATCCACTGAATGTTGCATGGTGGTTTCTTGATAATAACCTTTATGTATTTTTGCCATCATATACAGGTTGAAATATTGAATTGGTTTGTCACTGGTTTAGGACTTTGGATAAATGCATCCTGCATATGTAAACCTATTCTCAACCTATTTGAAAGTACAAAAGCATATTATTGTCAAGCATGGAAGTTGACTTCCCATGCTGCTGGATGGGATTGCTTTAACACTGTGCTCTAAGGCTGAATTTGTGCTGAGCTGAGCATCTTTGGTCATTTTGGAGCATTTGTACAGGCATTGCTGTGGGCATCTGAGGCTTGAATTTCTTTTTTTTTTCAGTTTTTAAAAGCTAGTTACTAGAGATAAGAAACAAGGGGAAGACTTCCAAAAACTGGAGTGTGCAAAATCTGGTGCAGCTTTGCTAAGAAACCAATCAGCTTCCAGGTTTTTTTTAATTGAACAAGCTGAAGTTAGAAGCTGATTCGCTACCGTGCACAGCTACACCAGATTTTGCACTCTCTAGTTTTAGTAAATCAACCTTAATATGTGATATGTGCATTTTTGCACATTTGCTCATTTTCTGGCATTCCAAATGAAATCTATTGGGGCCAAAAATGTGTGAAGCTTGAAGTCTGTAGCTCACAAAAAAACTCATATACTTTTTCAAGCTACAAACTTCAAACAACATTACACTCAGGTGTGAACAGGCATAACTGAAAACCATGGGATTTTGGATGGTATGCATTTTGAAGCTGCAAGCTACAAAACACTCAGGTGTGAATAGGGCCATAAATTCAAAGACTGACTGGTGTACAAGAAATATATGTAGCAAACAGTTTATTTTGCAGAAAATAGTAAGAATGCTGATACATTTGTTTAAGTAATGCAAACGAAGTGAAATGGAAGTTGTTTCCAAACAGGACAAAAACTCTCAAGATTCCAAAATCCGAATCCAGCTGATTTCCCTTCCAATGTACGGCGTTCTTACAAAGAGCAAGTCAGGACAAGCAGCAGAGGAGCTCTCAGAGTTCTCCTTTTTTACCATGGAGGATATCAACAACAGAAAGATCAAGTAAGCTGTGCATTACACAGACAGTGCATGCTCATTGTTAAATCTTTAAGTGTAACACTAGGCATGTTAATAAGTCAACTTTTTTTTATACATATTTGTTTCTCCTGCCAAAAGATTTGTACAGTAATTCTATAACTCCAAATACAAACAAGATTAGTTATGGACTCAACCAGGATGTGTTTTTTTTTATATTTCTAACAGCTGTAAATAATAATAAATTAGGTTAGGACATATAAATTGTTCCTTTATTAGCACAAAATTAGACATACAGCATATTTAAAAAACATCCCCATGAATCTCCAACATTCTTCAAATGCACACTTATTGAAAATCTTAATGATGCCACTACTCAACATATCTGATTATAACATTTGGGATTATCAATTGACCAATTGGACATGTCTTGAAAGATCAAACTTTTAAAGTCTTGATGCTATTCAAGAGATACAGCTTGATGATGATGACAGGAATCGCCATGCAAAATGTGAAGGTGTGTAATCCAGGGGAGGATGTTAGATTTCATGTTATATTGTATTCATTTCCATACTAAACCTCCCTCATCCAGACAAAAAAGTGATCCAGGGGAGGAAACCAATATGACATAAAGTCCCTTCACCTCCCTCCAGCGTCTACTGTATGGGCACCATCCAGGGGAGGATTCAGCACATCTGACCTCCCTTACACATTAAGACGTTGTGAACAGTCTGGGATGCTTGCCTCGAGCTGTATTCCCCTAGATGGGTATAGGCCACATAACAAGATAAACAGTCTACAGTTCAATGGCCAAAACTCCCTCCAAAGTTATAGTGGTTGAGGTGGTCAAGATCGTGCTCTGATAGAGTAGGCATATGTATACTTATTGTCCTTTGGCACCAATAGGTCATCAGGCTGAGAGGTCATGGGGAGTGAAAAAGCCATCCTGACTGGTTTTGCCAGGAGACCCGGCTGCCTCAGAGGTGGCTTGTGTTCGATGACCTATTGGTGCCAAAGGACAATAAGTATATATATTTCACACAAATGCGGTTCACCTAATAATAATCACGCTAAAAAACCTAAATCTCCCTAGACGCAAAAGTTCCACTTTCACCCCTGAAAGTTCAAAAGTCAATATAATAATCTTCCAGCTTCTGTGATATCCTCAAAAACTTTTTTATAAACGTGCTCTCAGATTTAATCCACCTTCATGAAGATATTCCTTTAATCTGTGAAATCCTCAAAAAAAGAAAACTCAATATAGTGCATTATCCCACACAAATGTAAAATAACATATAATCACCCTGTGGTTACTGACGTGCCACCCCACTTAGTGTCCACATCTAAATGGCTGTACCCTTACCCTATCAAAACTTGCTTAAAGCTCTCAATATCATATATTCCAAAACCGTGTTCCACTCCGTCTTTTCTTTCTTCAATATTTCCTCAAAAAAAAAAACAATAATAGTGCAATGTCCAGATAAAACACTTTAATAAGCATGAAAAAGCTCTCCTTATCCGACCATCCCTGCTCAGATCACTCTCCATGTGGTAGCATATTAAGGTGTAGTATATCATATTCAAAGGAATTAATTTTAATAAAGTTATGTTTACAATAAAATGATATAGAAAAAAAACTTTGTGATCCTTCTTTATAGTAAAAGAATTTGAATCCTCTGTAAAATCTTATTTTGTGAATGAAAAACCTCAGTCAAGATGGCCGCTGCGCAACTTCCGGTTGTGCATCTACATTCAACGTCACTTTCTTGACGCATTTCGTCACTTCCAACTTCTTCACAAAAAAAGTATACATATGTCTACTCTATCATAGCGTGATCTTTACCACCTCAACCACTATAACTTTGGAGGGAGTTTTGGCCATTGAACTGTAGACTGTTTGTCTTGTTATCTGGCCTATACCCATCTAGGGGAATACAGCTTGAGGCAAGCATCCCAGACTATTGACAATGTATTAACTAGTTGCCGACCGCAGATAGCTGAATGACGGCTGCACTGCAGCCGGCCAGTTCTGGGTGGACGTTATATGACGGCCTCCCAGAACGCGCTCTCCTGCGTGCCCCAGGGGGCGCGCACCCGGCGATCTCCGTGATCGCTGTGTCCTACGGACACAGCTGATCACGTGATGTGGTAAAAGGCCGATCACAGCGGCCTTTTACCACGTGATCAGCGGTGTCCAATGACACGCTGATCAGAGGGAAATGCAAGTGCGCTGTCAGATCGTGTGGAAAGTACTGCCGAGAACCGGCAGTTGTCAGAGCGGGGATTGGCACCGATCATCAGGGCACTGATGATCAGTGCCCTGATGATCGGTGCCCAGCAGTGCCACCCGCAAGTTCCGCCCACCTGTGCCCAGCAGTGCGCCCACTAGCTCCGCCCACCTGTGCCCAGCAGATCACCCACCTGTGCCCAGCAGTGCACCCACCTGTGCCCAGCAGTGCACCCACCTGTGCCACTCTGCAGTGTCACACACCTGTGGCCAGAAGTGCCACCTACCTGTGCCCAACAGTGCCACCCACCTGTGCCCACCCACCTGTGCCCACCAGTGCCACCCACCTGTGCCCACCCCCACCAGTGCTGCCCACCAGTGCCACCCACCAGTGCAGCCCAGCAGTGCTGCCAGTCAGTGCCACCAGTCAGTGCCCAGGGGTTGTGCCAGTCAGTGCCACCAGTCAGTACCCAGCAGTGATGCCAGTCAGTGCCGTCTATCAGTACCCATCATCAGTGTCACCTATCAGTGCTGCATATTAGTGCCGCCTATCCGTGACACCTCATTAGTGCTGTCTATCAGTGCCGCCTATCCGTGCCACCTCATTAGTACTGCCTATCAGTGCCCTTTAGTGCTGCCTGTCAGTGCCGCCTATCAGTGCCCATCAGTGCTGCCTCATCAACGTACATCAGTGAAGGAGAGAAAATACCTGTTTGAAAAATTTTATAATAGAAACAAAGAAACTTTTTTTTTTTCAAATTTTTTTGCAATTTTTTTATTTATAGCGCAAAAAGTAAAGCGCCCAGCGGCGATTAAATACCACCAAAAGAAAGCTCTATTTGTGAGAAAAAAATGATCAAAATTTCATATGGGTACAATGTTGCATGACCGCGCAATTGTCAATCAAAGTGCGGGCAGCGCTGAAAGCTGAAAATTGGCCTGGTAAATAAGGGGGTATAAGTGCCTGGTAGGCAAGTGGTTAATGTGTAAGGGAGGTCAGATGTGCAAAATCCTCCCCTGGATGGAGTCCATACAGTAGGCGCTAAAGGGAGGTGAAGGGACTTTATGTCATATTGGTTTTCTCCCCTGGATCACATTTATGTCTGGATAAATTTTGATATTGCTTGGGACTCTTGTCTTGTTTAGTCTCTATTGGAGCACTGTACATTTACATCAACTCCAAGAATATCAAGTTTAGTGTCACTTTAAATTACAGTAAAAGCAGTTGAACAATGACCTTGGGGTTGTCTTAGAAAGACTTAGCGATCTATGTAGAAAAAAATGTGCTTTGCGAATGTATCAGCATTCATGCAAAAGTCATAAATAATACCCATAATGTCTGTAATATTCTCGTAATGTTAGTTTCTATTCGTTGCCTTTTGCCAGGCTAATGTAACATTTCCTAACATTGTTCCTATAAGAGAAGAGCCCCAAGAACATTCAACCAGAAGAGTTACAGAACATTCAACCAATAAAGAAAATACCCTAGCACCAGAGGCTAAGAATATTCGACCAAAAGATGAAATAAAATGAGGGAGGCCTCTGCAATATGTGCAAAGTGCATGGAAATTCCTGTGTGAACAGCCAAAGAATCTCCAGTTTCAGTGGGAAGAGAAATATTTAGCAACGTTTACTACCCTTGCTAAATGTGAGCTTCCCATCTAGGGCTCCTGGGTGTTAGGGACCCGTTACTCACCGATTAGCTATGACTATGTTAGGTCAGTGACATTGTGGGGATCCCTGTGACATTAATGACATTGTGGCAGGGACTGGGAGATATAATTCAGTGGGATTGAATTGACAGGATCAGATTTCTTGGTGGGTGGTGGTGGTATTTTTTCTTTCTGCAGGTCAATAGGTGTTGTTCATTGTGATTGATCTGCATCGCTGGGCATCAGTGTATTTACAATATGGGACCTCTTCTGGGTTTTGTGTCTGTGTGTTTATTTACTACTTAAATTTTTTTGTGAATGACTAGGTGTAGTATGTACCCCATACTTATTCATATTTGAGGGGACCAGTATCTGGGGGCATGTTATTTTTAAAAGGGGCTTCCACATTTTGATAAACCCATTGACTGCAGACCCTCACAATCCCCAGGCTGGGGTTGTGGGGAAGAGCCCCCTGTCCTCATCAACATGGGGACAAGGTGCTTTGGCAAGGTACCCCTCCCCCATGTTGAGGACATGTGGCCTGTTTCGGGGACAGAAGCTTATTCCCCCTTACCTGGTCAGCCAGGCTGCATGCATGAATTAGGTTTGATATCGATTTTGGAAGAACCCCGTGCTTTTTTTGTGTCCTTTTGCATGTTTTTCTCCCTTAAAACCCATACCAGACCCCTCCGCATTTTTTTTACTTATTCTTGTTATTCTGTTTACATCCATCTGTCATGTGGGGAATCCCTCACTTACAGCTTAGTGTGCCAGGCAGGGATTCACTGGTTGTTAGGACTGTGGTGGGGGGCTGGCTTTTCTTGCTCTGTAACAGATAGGAGCTCTAAGCAGGAACATTTAGCAGAGGTACAGTATATACAGTATAGTGTTACACTATTTCTCTAATGGTTGAATGTTCTTCACCTCTTCTTGTTCAATATTTTTAAAGCTATTTTCTCTTAGGATCGATTGTTTGAGAATGTTACATTACCCAACGAAAGGCAACAAATGGAAACTGACGTCACACATATATTACAAACCTTACAAATATTTGTGACTTTCATGTAAATGCTGAAACATTTGCAAGGCAAATTTATAGACCCCTATTTTCCTGCTTTATGGAAAAATACTTTTACCTTTAAAGTGTATCCAAAAATAAAATAGCACTCACTAATGAAAGATTTTTCAAATTAAGTTTTTTTTTCGTTTTATTTATAGTTTTTGCCTGATGCTTTTTAAACTTTAGCCATTTGCTTATATTATGTATTTTCTGCAAGCGAAATATTAAAAAAAAGTGTTTTTCCCCAAGTTCCCTGACCTCAAACGTTAACATAGCCCCTATGACCTAACTATATCTACATTCAAACTCTGAACGCATGGTCCCTGGTGTGCACTTTTGTTCAGGAACTTTATTAAAATGTCAAGTGAGTTTTATTCCTCACGCCAGCATTGTGTTGGGCGTTGCAACCTACTGCATTGCAAAAGACTAGGAAGCAAGGCATTTTGCTTTGTCTGTGTGTTGGAGTGCACTAGAAAAGCTGCATCTGGTCTGAATGGTCCCTTAAACCTAATATAAACTCAAAATGACTGCAGGGAAACCCTCTCCTTGTGGTGCAATCTCCCAGTTTGTTTCCAGATCCCCTTCAGAGAAGCATCTTAAGCTCTAATTTTTGACTGCATTCAGCTGCCAGTTCAAAGTCCTAGCCTCACATATACACTATATTGCCAAAAGTATTGGGACACCCCTCCAAATCATTGGATTCAGGTGTTCCAGTCACCTCCATGGCCACAGGTGTATAAAATCAAGCACCTAGGTGTGCAGACTGTAGACAAACATTTGTGAAAGAATGGGTCACTCTCAGGAGCTCGGTGAATTCAAGCATGGTACCATGATAGGTTGCCACCTGTGCAGTATGTCCATCCATGAAATTTCTTTGCTACTAAATATTCCACGGTCAACAGTTAGTGGTATTATAACAAAGTGGAAAACTCTGGGAACAACAGCAACTCAGCCACAAAGTGGTAAGCCACGTGACAGAGCGGGGTCAGCGCATGCTGAAGGGCACAGTGTGCATAAGTCGCCAACTGTCTGCAGAGTCAATAGCTAAAGATTGCCAAACTTCCTGTGGCCTTCAGATTAGCATAACAACAGTGCATAGAGAGCTTCATGGAATGGGTTTCCATGTCCGAGCAGCTGCATTTAAACCTTACATCACCAAGTGCAATGCAAAGCATCAGATGCAGTGGTGTAAAACACGCCGCCACTGGACTCTAGAGCAGTGGAGACGTGTTTTCTGGAGCGATGAATGACGCTTCTCTGTCTGGCAATCTGAAGGACGTGGCCCCTTAGTTCCAGTGAAGGGAACTCTTAAGACATCAGTATATGAAGACATTTTGGACAACTTCATGCTCCCAACTTTGTGGGAACAGTTTGGGGATGCCCCTTCCTGTTCCAACATGACTGCGCGCCAGTGCACAAAGCAAGGTCCATAAAGAGATGGATGAGTGAGTTTGGGGTGGAGGAACTTGACTGGTCTGTGCAGAGTCCTGATCTCAACCCAAGAGAACACCTTTGGGATGAATTAGAGCAGAGACTGCCAGCCAGGCCTCCTCATCTGACATCAGTGCCTGACATCACAAATACACTTCTGGAAGAATGGTCAAGCATTCTCATAGACACACTCCTAGACCTTGTGGACAGCCTTCCCAGAAGAGTTGAAGCTGTTATAGCTGCAAAGGGTGGGCCAACTCAATATTGAACCCTACAGACTAAGACTGGGATGCCATTAAAGTTCATGTGCGTGTAAAGGCAGGCATCCCAATACTTTTGGCAATATAGTGTATCTCGCATCACGCTTAAGCAGCCTGCAGCTAGGAGATGAGAGTAGGCTTTCTCTTTTTTAGATTGAAGCCCTCCCCACACAGGATATCTTGAGCAGCATCCATTAATGTAATTTCCCAAAAACCACATCGCATGTTAGAAATTCATTCATTCAAGAAAAGTTTCTATCCTGCTCCTTCAAAGTTTCTTGTTGTTGTTTAAAACAAACAGCAGTTTGACCCCACTAAGGATTTGAAAATCAATCAAATGTTCCTGAAGCAAAAGTTTTCGACAATAATTGACTTTAACACTTAAAGTGGTTATAACCCCTTACATATATGCAGTGAAGTGACTGGTCTGAAGTGATACACAGAGGTGAAACAATTCCTCCTACATAAGTTGTACATGTTTCTCTTCTCTACAGCTGTTCAAAGTCCAGTCTGTCACCTTTTTTTTCCTTGGTGTCAGGAAAACTTGGTAGAAGTGACTCATGTAGATAGCAGAAGAATCAAGCAGCAGACAGAACTTACACTTAGAGCTCTGGATTGAGACAAGTGCACACTATAGAGGGATAAGCTTTGTTCATATTTCATGTCAGAGGTTTACAACCACATTAACCTTACCTTATCCCTAAACCAATTGATCCCTAATTCTCCCTAGGACTGCACTTACTTTATTGTTCTAAAAAGTGTCCTGTACCAAATCAAGACAGCTCCAAAAATATAATTATTCTGCTACAAATAGAGTCAATGCATACCATTTAGATTAAAAGTTTCCCTTTTCTTAGAGTGTCTTTGATTTCCATTAATATTGTTTCTCTCTACTTGATCTAGGTATTCTACGATAACAGAAACAGATGCCCTGGCACTTACTGACTTCTTCCATTTCACTGTCTACAATGTGGACAATGACCGTCTGGACAACCAGATCTTTACAGTTATTATTACATCTGTTGAAAGAAGTCTTCCTATCATCAGTTCTAGAGAAAAGATTTCCATACGTGCCCTGAAGGTATGCATATAATAAAGTTATAAAAATACTTGTGGAACCACACTGCATCTGAATATCACAAACCAAAAATAATGTTTAATTCACTTTTAATATTCAAAGTAAACTCCCCCATCTATCCATGTCTTCATGATTTATTTTTCTTAGAAATCACTTTGAAAAACTCCCCTAGCATTTTTGGCAGTGCCCATCTTAACCTCCCTGGCGGTATTCTCGGGTAAACTTTCAGTACCAAAAGCAGTAACCCCGAGCTACACTCGGGAATACCCTGCAGCGTTGTTCTGGGATCCCTCTTGGACTTTCCTTGTCCTGCGCTCTCGCGATGTCCTCCCTGCAGCGTCCCCGGCCATATCCTCCGGCCGATGCTGGCATCCATCTTCCGGGTTCCGTTCCCTGCGAGCGTTGGGATGTATGGGGGACGGAACCGGCGGGAAATTTAAAAATGTTAAAAAGTGACATTCACTAAATACACTAAAATCACATAGTATAACATTACTGTTTCAAAGCATTTCACATACATTTTGTCTCTAGTGCTTTGTCCTGTGTCCTGCCTGCATTTTTACTGTTCTTTCTGCCTGGAAACTGAGAAATGTCCATGGCATCCAAAAAGCGTCCCTTCAGGTCAAAATCGGTTTTAGACCAGCTAGAGAACAGCGATAGTAAATTAGAATCTCTTGCAGAATTGAGCGATAATGATTTGTGGGGAAATTCATCATCAGACACTGAAAACAATTTTGCGACTTTGCTCAGTGATGTGCGAACTTGGCGCTATATTTACAATTTCAGTGTTTTTGGTTTGATTACATTATTGAATTAAATTTATTATTATTAAATTTTTTTTTTTTCTTTTTCTTCCAAAATATTTTTTATTAGAAAGTAAAGTATAGCAGTATACATACAAATACAGATCACAGTCCGAACATAGACACATCATGTAGCATCCCGTTACACAGACGGGTCATGGGTTTAAACAAAAGTACACAGCTGGTTGAAATATATCCTTAATGCAAATGTATATGGCAAAGAGTATAGTAGATAAATCAAAATGGGTATAAGGATTACTGTCATATGTACTGGTGAGCCCTTATGTCGGCCGAATGTGAAGTGTTGGGTAGTGCTAGCACAGGATGACTTATATGACAAAATTTGTGTGTCCATTTCGGGAGCGGTTGAGCCATGTGAAAGCAGGCACATCTGTATAAGAGATGAAATGCCATATTTGTTGGGAGTATATGAATAATGAAGTCGTAAAAAAAAAAAAAAAAAAGCTTGAGAGGAAGAAAAGTCATAAAAGAGAAGAGCTAGCGAAAGAGATGGGAATGTAACGTGAGGTAGTGGGGGGGGGGTAGGGGGGGAATAAAACAAAAAGGGGGGGGGATAGGGGGAATGGGTAGGGAGGAAAGGGGATGTTAAAGTGGGTAGAATAATTTGTATAATTTTGTACAAGCCACAAAGATAGTCATATATGGTAGGATGCAATACATGCAGGATCGGTCAAAAGGGTAGGGCGTGAATCAAGAATCCGAGACGAAGGCCACGATGCCGAGTCTCAGCCCATCCAAATATACACGAAATGTGTCTTCGGAGAACAGGGCGTTCCCTAATATAGCATAGTGTCTGGTCATTCAGTCGGGGGGTATAGGCTGTTCATGAACTAAGCAACGATAGGTAGTGGTGGTTTTGAAATGGCTCCAACAAGCCCAAGTTTTTCTGAATCTCTCGGGATGTTCTTTTGATACAGAGATCAGTTCCTCCATTTCCTAATTATTATTTTTTATGATTATTTATTATATTATAATTATAATTTAGGATTTTGTGTTTCAAATTTTATCTTAATCGGGATTTTTACTAGACTCTTGTTTGGACAGATTTCAGTGAGTTATTCCTAAAAAGTACAGGCCTACAATAAAAAAACAACATATTTCCATGCACACAAATGTGTACCGCTTTGAGCACAGAAATATTGACATAATCAGACCACTAGGAAGGTTAAGTAAGGGCAGATGATTCATGTAGAATTTACTTCCTGGAGTGCATCTGTCTTTAGCTCAGGCATACAGACAGGAGGGTGTGCTTAGCTGAGAAAACCCCTTCTCCCCTTCTGAAAACTCCTGGGATGTATGACATAATTTTCCTAGGTCTAGAAACCAGGAAGTAACTGAGTAAATATGACAAGTAAATATGACATACTTTCCTGCCTATTTACTAATGCTAGCAGCATAAGGTTTAAAACTAGTCAATGTTGATTAAGAGAGTGAAGTTCTGCTTTAATACTGCAGCCCTTAACTTCCTAAAACAGGGCTGTTTTATTGTCTTGGGTACCAGGGCAGTTCATGCAAGAGGTTATTTATGATGACTTGTTTCTTGGTCAGAGGCATAGGGGTCTACTTATAAAAAAAATGACCCGTGTGAATGCCTCAATTGCTGTAAAGTGTCTAATATGTTTGTTCCTTATGATTGTCAGCTCCATCTAGTGCCTATAATGCAGTATATTCTTAACATAGGAAAATACCACATTATGGCCACTAGGTGGAACTGACAATCATAGGAAAAAAACACATTATGCCAATTATTTGTGAGGACTGTGTGAATATTTGAGGCATTGGCACAGCAAATGATTTATAACCCATAGTGTCTAAAGTACAACATAGATTCTAGACATTAAGGGTGACCACAGAAATAGGAGTCTAACACCAACTAACTACAATCTTTCTTACTGACTTGGCCAATGTTTTTTTTCAGCTTTGACTCCTTTCTTGGCACACTGAATTGGTGTTTGCTTTCGAGCATATTAAATGGCTATTTATATGAAGAAGAGACAGTTCTTTTTCTTTTTAAAGAAGCAGTACATTTTTGGGTGCTCACTATTATAGGACAATTGTTAACAGCCATGAACCAGTGTAACTGGTCCCTAAGTTTTAACACAGTTTATTATGCAAAGATACTCAACTCCTTTAGTAGGCTATACTTCTCCTCCTCACAAAGCAAGACCACAAGCCCACCGACTCATTGAATACAATGATACCCTATATGACTAATATCTTGAGAATGAGTCGGTGGGCTTATGGTCTTGCTTTGTGAGGAGTAGCAGTAAAGCATAAACAGCACTGCAAAGTTGGAAACAGAAGTTGCATATATAATGAACACATTTGGTTTGTATATTGAAACAAGTTTTTTTTAAACATTAAAATGTATTTTATATATATATATATATCTCTAAATATGTATATCTAAAAACAAGTATGTACGTTCTTCAGAGCTTCTGATTTCCTCGATAGAATGTTGTCCCTACTTCATTTAGCCATTAAATTATTCTGTGCTGGTAATACTATGTGACAAGATTATACTTCATTCTCTGCAACTGATGATCCATAGCTGAGGCTTTTCCCTAGCCTTATTTTACATGCAGGATGGCTCATATAATTAAAAGCCACCTTTCATTTCACCTCTCACATCTTGGTAAATGTCTTATTCTTATGTTGTGGTATTTTAAGCTGGGAAAGCATGTTGATCTATTTTTTTTGTAAAGTAACTTTATCTGATCTAATGTGCAGGTGGAGGAAGGAGGGCGAATTTCTCTGTCTTCACGTGACTTGTTGCCCCTAGACCCTGTAACTTTAGGACCTCGACTCAGGATATATATAGTTGCTGGGCCAAAGTTTGGTTATCTGGAGAACATTAAAAATGGTAATATTTTTTCCAAATTCTGTAAGGACTGAAACCAGATGGAGATGTATAAATTTCTTTTTATCAGTATGGATCTACCCCATGTTTCCTTGTTGAAAGTGCCTAAGGGTAATCCTTAACTTTATTTGTACATTGCCACATCAATATTAAGCTGGTGTGTACATATTCTTCATGGAGTACAGTTAGGTAAAAAAACATCTTCTATGAAAGATTGTTCTAAACCAGTCTGAGGCAACATACTCTACTTGTGCCATGTGCTAGCTTTGACAATGAGCAGAGTACCTGATAAATATATTTTATGGTAGAGAGATCTGTATGTTGCACTGGTAAAATCACTGTAAGATCAGCCTTGCCTCCATGTAAAACTGCAAAGTTTTCAAAAGTACTGAGAGAAGGGTTAAAATATAAATATTTATTTTGTAAATCATAACACTGGGCAAATAGCTAAGAACACATTGTTATATATTTAGGAGCTGATTTACCTGTCAAATGATTGGTTTATTTTGTCCAGCCAGACCTGAGATTTACATATCCTGGTCAGACAACACTTCCTTTCAGACCTGACAGTTCTATGTTGCAGTTAGGCAAATTAGCCTGGTCACCTCACTGCTCCCAGTCTGTGATTGGACAGTGAAGTAGCTGCAGGAAATGTATGTTCATGAATGCAAGTTCATCTCTCTCCCTAAACTGAACATACATGGGTCAGTTTTTTTCGTTCAACCAGTGACCTGAACAAAAAAATCTGATTCACTCATCCACAGATTCGATGTGGATGCAAAAATGCTCCCCGCTGTGTCATTGTATTCTTTCTGACAACAGGATCCCCCTGCCGTCAGAATACACTGATATATTGAATGGATGTTTTCCAGCAGGACCATTCATGAGAAGTCAATCGATAGATAGATTGACTTCTAATAAGCAGGAGCATTCATAGATGGAACAAAATTTGTGCAGTTCCTGGCGAACCGGATGAATTTCAATCCATGTATGGCCAGCTTTACTTTAATCTTTCCTTTTTCTTCTAACAAATTGTGATGCATGTCCCCCTTGATTTAGAAAGTTAAATATAGCATCTATTCCAATCAATAACAACACCAGTAGCTTGTGACAGCTAAGTCAGCCACATAATATGTAGTAAGTCTGTTTAGATGGTATATAGTCATTTTCAGATATGATTCTAAGGTACTGTACTATGACTGCTTTGTCCTTTCATGAAAAACTATATACAGTAAAGATGAATGCACATAAATGTATTTGGGAACCAAGGCAATTCAACGTTTAATGGCATTCATTGAATAGAAGACATAAATAAATAAGTAAAGGCAATTTACAGCAGACTGCCAGAGGGGGTGCAAGCATTCATGGTCAATCAAGCTCTACTGCATGCAGCTGTGCTGACGGGACATGCAAAGAAAAAGGGAAAAGAGAGAAGAGAAGAAAGAAGCAGAGTGGACAAAGGAATGACCTTGGTCTTCTGCTGTTCTTTATTGTCAAATCAGCACGCTAGGGGAGTGTTCTTCAATTTTCAATAAGTTGTGTTGTTGCAGTGGACGTTAAGGGCATGATCTGATGCTGTCTTTGGCAGCTAATACAACTACAACATTATGTGTGTAGAGGTAAGCTTTAAACAAATTTCTTTTGTTGTTAACAGTTTTCCTGAGGTGTGTGTGCATTCTCTTCAACAGGTGGCCGAACTTCTCTGGGAGGTCAGATTGGCTCAGACTCTTCATTTCCAATTCAGGATATCATAGAAAACCATATATATTATGTGCAAAGTGTTCATGACAGCGTGGAGCCAACTGTTGACTACTTTAGTTTCTTTATGACAGATGGAAGCAGCCAGTCTGAGGTTCACAATGTCACCATTACTATAGAGGTTGGTGTTATACTGCTGTTTGTAACAATGTTAATTGCAGTCTGTTGTAAGGTGATATACACATAAAAATGTAATCTCAATTAATTATAACAAGTAGTACAATTATAAAGAATAATAATATTATGTATACTTTAAAGGAGAAGTCACTTACTCACAACAGCACATTAAACACATATTTGACTAGTCTGTGTGCAGCTCTATTCCTGCTAGCAGGGACCAAAGTGAAACAGCATAGGCATTCCAATTCTGAAATTCCTGAAAGAGGGAGCAGCAAGAGGCTAGGAAAGCACCTTGTCTCATGCCATCCCTAGAGATACTGACTCCAACCTTGTTTGTTGCACTGTCTGAGTTTGTTATTTGATTCTTTATTTAGTTGCCTCTTACAAGTTTGTAAAGTACACACGTTTGTCATCAACTAGACGAATATGAACATTAAAATGCCCACCCAATCAAACCTGATTTTTCATTCTTGGATAAATACCAACAGATTGAATCAACTTTATGAATCTTATATGCATCGACAAGACCTCTGCTACTGAATTGCTTGATTTACCCATTTGCCATAGGTATTTTGCTTGGGTTTTACCCTCCAGCAAGGGCTTTTAATTTGTTTTCATTTTTAGAGGATGCAGCTGGAGTAAGAGTTACTGGAGTAGAGGGCATAGCTGAAAATATGGTGAGAGTTTAAAAAACATATAAGGGCTCTTTCACACTATAAAACCTGTGCATGGTAGCCAATCAGCTTCTAACCTCAGTTTGTTCAATTAGCAATAAAACCCGTAAGCTGATTGGTTTCTATGCAGAAGTGCACGAGATTCTGAGTGAACCAACTTTAGTAAATAAACACCTTTATGTGGTGATGTGCGTTCTTCAGCACAAGAACAACACAACTCAGCACCAGGCACACAGAAAATAATTGTTTTCTATCAACTCTCTCTAATGTTTTCCTATGTGTCCATGCACACTATGTCGTGTACAGTCGTTTACAGGCAGTTGAGTTTACAGTAGTTTTTTTTAACACACTAAACTTGCGTTCAGGAGTAGATTTTACCAGCGTTTCAAACGCCAAATGCTTGTAAACATGGCTAACCGTGTTTAGAAGCGTTTGCGTTTAGAAGCGTTTTTTGACTGGTCCATATCCAGAGCACAATTCACTAAACAGTATCCTACCACATCCGAGTATGTGGTAGGATACCGCATAGAATTTTTAAAAAAGAACCCATTTGAATCCACTTACAAAGGCTACTAAAATACCGCATGATTTTATCAAGTCATGCGGAATTGTAGTAGTGAAAAGCATGCATCATGTTTCGGCTGTCAGCGGATTTCCCACTGACAGCTGAATGTAAAAGAAAGAATTGCCGGCAATAATACTTTGGGGGGGGGGGGGAGCCCACCTGCCAGGCTGCATTTTCGATTAAGGGTCTGGTATGGATTTTGGACGGAACCCCACACCATTTTTTTTTTTGTTTTGGCGTGGGGCTTCCCCCAAAATCCGTGTCAGACCAGAAAGGCTTGGTATGGATGGAGAGGGGGGACCCCACAAGTTTTTTTTATTATTTTTTAATTGCCGGTAATTCTTTCTTTTACATTCAGCTGTCAGTGGGAATCCTACTGATAGCTGAAACATTAATGCATGCTTTTCACTACTAAAATTCCGCGTGACTTGATAAAATAACTTGTGGTATTTTAGTAGCCTTTTTTAGTGAATTTACTATTTTTCAGTGCATTCTGGGCATTTGGGAGGGTCTCCTGAGGTTATCTTTTAAAAACGCTTCTAAATGCAAAAGCGTATAAACGCAGCTAAACGCGTAACGCGAACGCGGGTAAACTGACGTTTTTTAACCTACGTTTTCAAGCAGTCAGTTTCCATTATTCAGAAGAGTTTTCCAAACGTCCCGTGTACATGAACCCTTACAAGTAAAATGATACATGTTTTAACTTTTATTTAAGAATGTAATAATAATAGTGGATGCACAGTGTGTAATGGAATATAACAGTGTGAAACTGTTCAATAATTATTGTTTTCCTTTTGCTTTGCTTTTATTTGTATTTTAGGGCAAAAATGATGAACCACCAAAAATATTTTTTACTTCCTGTAAGTGTTCAGGATAATGCGGGAGCTGTTATAAGGAACACTTGCTTAAGTGTTCAGGACATAGATACACCAGATAATGAGCTGATTTTCACAGTGACTAAAACACCATTATATGGTAAGCCTGTAGCCATAATGATGTGTATATGTTACATACTGTTACAGCTGAATTTCACACTTTAATTAGTATTTTAAAACTTTTCTTGTATTATTTATTCAGGTTGGAATCTGATGGCTGGCTATAAGACAACAAAATTATTGTTTGTGACACATTGATAAGTAGGCTTAAAGTATGACTAAAGACAACATTTTTTTTTAGTTTTGTAAAGAGTGGAGCGGGATTAGAACATCTGTTAGCTTTTATTGCTCTCTGTTTCTCCTGTTTATATTATCATTGAAAGTGAACGTAACAGAAAATCCCAAATTTTGGGCTGTCCCCAGAAAAGTAATAGAGGGGAAATCTTCCAATAGGGACACTAAGTCTGGTGACTCCAAGGAATTCACTTAATTTGCAGGAATTACTTCCTGTTTTGGCTACAGGATAGGGAGTGAAGGTAAATCTCCCCAATGGGATACTAAGCTGTAATGGATGTGCAATTTGTTAAAATATTCAGTAACTTAAAGTATAACTAAAGGCAAGACTTTTTTTAAAGTCTTTGATAGAGTTGAGATGGATTAGAACACGTCAGGTTTTTATTGCTCTCTGTGCCCCATTAGAGATACTCACCGTCTTTATTTTTCCTGTTTACCAATATCACCAAAAGTGATATTTAAAAAATCCCAAATTTTGGGTTGCCACCAAAAATGGGGACACTGGTTCTGGTGACTCAGATGACAACCATTATCAAAAAGTCAAGTATCTGGTTGCTCGTCCCTAATAGATGTATGAAAGAAAAAAAAAACCCTATAGGACTTTCATGCAGCAAGCTACAGCATTACACATTTAAGCAAAGATCTTTCTTTAGAAAGGAATATACTTTATTAAAAAGATATACTCATGAGAATACATGATCTTTATATTTGCGAAAAATACATAATCTTTAAAAACACGCTCTGAGAAATATTGCAAGAAAACTTTCTTCACAAAATGAAAAACCACCCATAAAGGGAGGAGGTTATCCTGACGCGTTTCTATCATTCCACATTTTTGATCTTCTTCAGGAGTGTGGATACAAAGAGAGTTTCTAATGAGCACATAGAAAGGGAGTGATAATATGCATATATAAACAGTGCTCAGTAGCATTTATGCCATTGCTATAATGATACTTACAGAAAATCAATATTGATCAGAGCAATTGTAAAATATGGACATCCAGGATGAAACCGCATGGACTGAGGCCCCAACGTAGTGGACTCAAGGAGAGCAAGAGTGGTCAGATGTCAACCCCATGGATCCAACAGCACCTGGGAAACATCAAATCACCCTCTAGGGTGATTTGAGAACAGGAAATTCGTGCTCACCAAACCAAGGAGATGAAATGAGAGACCATCTTCAAGGCAAAAAGCCAGAAGCCAACTGCAATAATGCATCCAATAAATAGGGTTCAATGTAAAGTAATTGTCTCATCAAAGGGTGATCTAATGAACCTGTGCCATCAGCTCAGAGGAAGGGGCAGCAAAAAATAACAACCAGGGATTTCCTCACATTGGAGGGATTTTCTGTTTCTGATTTAGCTATGGTACTGGAAGTGAAGGGAAGTCTCCACAAAGGGACACAGACGGCAATAAAAATGACGGGTTATATCCCCACTTACTGTATCCAAAACAGAGTTTTGCCTTTAGTTATTCTTTAGGTCATATGACCCTTATTTTTAGGACTCAATAGGACATGTTTCCTTAAAGTCTAAAAGGTAAAATTGTTAGTGTTAGATACACCTGTGTTGTGTTAGTGTTAGATACACTTGTGCATATGCCTGGAAGGATGAAAACCTGTTATTGTTTAATATTAACAAAAGCAAAAAAACTATCTATTACTCCAATCAAGGGTATCTGCTGACATATTCTACTTTAATTTTTTTCCTTTGATAAATTAATAGCATTAATAAATTATCTACATATCAGTTGTGTTTTTATTTTTGTTTCAAATCTGTTTTCTTTCTTTTAATATGGATACTGTGAAAGTAACTGTTTCTGTGTTGCACGTTGCCATAGGGAACTTACGGAGGAGGCAATTCTACTCTGAACCACTGGATAATGGCCGTATCCTGTTTCAAGACTCCTTCTTTACTTACCAAGATGTACTGGATGAACTGATTGTATATATACCTGAGGTTGGAACTACACATTCAGATGAATTTAGGTTCTCTCTCTCAGATGGTCGCTACACCGAGAGTGGAAGACTGCAGTTTAATATTGAGCCACAGAGGAAGGCATCCCCAAGGATGGCAGTAAACAGAGGCCTGCAGATCTCAGCAGGTATCTCAACTTTTTTTTCCTCAGACATACAGACATTAAAGTCAACAGTATACTAACTTTATTTGAGGAGGTAAATCCAATCTGAAAGTTTTTAAAGTTGGGATGCTACCATACAATCCAAACTATTACTACTATACATTCCAAAATACATTTCAGTTAAATGTTTGATAAAACTAATCTTGGGGCCCATGACCTGTTCTAAGTAGACTTCATAACAATGAAGTGATAACATCTTAATATGTACTTTAAATTGCTCATATGTTTTATACAGCAACCTAGAAAATGAACTGTCTAGTTAAATCATTTTAATTTACCTTGCCATATATTCTAACTTTTTCAAGTTTGACCTGTTTTCTATTTTGTGTTGCCTTGGCTAAACATAATATAAGAGTAATATCATACACACCCTGTATGCCTATGCCTGTTGTTCTACCTATAAAATATTTATATATACAATATGTTCTGATGTCAGAATACCATCACACACTTTGTCATGATGTGTCCCAATTTGCTGTAGTCTGTGAATCTCAACATCAGTCAATTAATGTCCATCAATGTCTGTCAAAGCCCCTGTGTATTATGTTTACTCTCATAGCAAATTTTTAAGGATGTTTGAAATACCCATAGACTTTCCTGTAGATATACATTCAGTCCTAAGTGACTGAAAACATGTAAAAAATACAGCTATTTATTAAATGATCCTTTTTTATAATGGCATCGTTTGTTGCAAAACCAGATAGCTCAATAACTTACTTTTTTCTGTTTTCCTGTCAAGGTTCTACAGCTACCATAACTGAGAAGAATTTAAAGGGAACTGACACAGATTCAGATAATGAAAAACTGCGATATGACATCAAGAAAGACCCTGCTGTGGGACAACTGCTGATATCAAAGAACAGTAATCTGCTACCCATTTCTGTAAAGGGACCAATTGCCAGTTTTACTCAGTCAGATATTAATAAAGGTGATAAATAATTAAATATGTAGTATAACATTTTATATTACATTTTTAAAGATTTTAAATGTGCACTAATATTTACTTAGACAAAGGAGCATGTGTGTCCTAAGATATGTTGCTGTAATTATAGTATAAAAAAATTGTAGGAGGCTACCAAGTCACAGTGCAAGGCTTACCATAATGATACTATTGATTCAGATCCTAGGAGGTCAGTCTGAGAGGGCATCACAAAGTCTTAACATTTTCAAACCATGATAACCTTTTCCTTTTTGTTTCTTTCTTCTGGCTTTTTCTGTAAATGTGTTATTCAGTTCAGAAAAAAAATCTGTGGGAAGGGTGGGGGAACCTCTAGGTGTACATTTTATTAAACATTAAGTGATACGTTCGCTACGTAGACTATAAGCTAAGCTTTAAATACTGCAAATGTTGACCAAAACATAATGGGGTTTATTTACTAAAGCTGGAGAGTCCAAAATCAGACTCCCTTCTGCATAGAAACCAATCAGCTTCCACGTTTCATTGCCAAAGCTTCATTGAACAAGCTGAGGTTAGAAGCTGATTGGTTTCTATGCAGAAGGGAGTCTGATTTTGGACTCTCCAGCTTTAGTAAATAAACCCCAATGTGTCAGGTCGCAAATGTACAGCAAAATCCTTCATAAACATGTCTCTAGCCTATTTTCATTCTTTATATAAGTAATATAAACACATTGACTAAAATTTTAACAAAGTGACAATAAATTGCCCACTGGCATTATGAATGCTGTATGTTGTCTTTCATAACTGGATATATTTTCTCCAGAAACCACATATTGGGGATCAGTGTTGTTATAAAAAGGCACCAATCTTAATTATTTTGCATTCTTTTAATAAATGTGCCCTTCTTCTATGATTTTCTCTCTCCTTTATCTTGTGACTAATGTTGTCTCATCTGATTTTAAAATAAATTGTTCGATTAACAAAGCACATCTGTAATGCTGTATTTATCTTGCAGTAATAAAGAAAAGCAATTGTCTGAAATATGCCACTTGCCAAGTGATTACTTTGCAAATACAGCAACAGTATGGTTGTGTGATAGAATTCTTAAAGTTTATTTATAATTTTGATGTTTTTAGGATACATTCAGTACAAGCACAAGAAAGGAGAATCGGGTGGGGAGCTTTGCTTTAAAATTTGATGTGGTTGATACAGAAGATAATGCATTGATAGACCAGTCTTTCTATATAAGCATATTAGGTAAGTTATGTTTATGATAATATCCTGTTCTTGTCCTATCCTGTTCTCTAACAGTATCCAAAGCCCTAGCATTTCTTGTTTTGGGTAGAGAGGGGAAAGATTACTGGGACAGAAACCAATGTGAAATTCATCATTATACATTTGTCACCGGAACAGGAAGTAAAAGAAGTCTTTCATTGAGGACATTTGTTTGAGTGACAGCTGTAAAGGAAGCCATTTTACCCTATTTTGGGGAGATTTCCTTGCGTTATTGGGCGTTGTGGTGCACTGCATTGGAAAAAAAGGGCCAGGTCTGGTTTTCAGTATGTTGGAAATCTATTTGAAATAAATAGGTTGCCTATATGCAGTGCAAGGTAATGTTCAAGGTCATTAACGAGGGTGTAGAAATATGTGGAGGGACAATAAGTGTTTTTACCCATGTGACTAATCTACTATGTAAATAGGTTTTGTGACTCCTTGCTCACATTGGTTGCATATGGATTTGATAAAGCCCACTGTTTTCAGTAAATTGTGTTCACACCAATGTTTTGTGTTACAAAAAAAAACCTGAAGGTTGCCATTCAAGTTAGTTCAAATTAAGTATTTAACAACATGAAAAACACCTCTAAAGGACTTCAACAAATGTTAAAACAGTAAGTATTAACATGTGCACTTTGGATAGGATAAGGAGTGCTTTTTCATGACTAGTCTGGAGACAGTTATCTGCCATCATACACATGGAATGGATTAGAGTCAGTTAAAAACTATTGTATTTTTTTTTTAAATACAAAATTGTATTTTACTATGCATTTCATTATGTTTGAAATAAAATGCTGCTCTACTTTATCATACAAAAACCCTCAACTGAAGCATAGGATCTGTTTTCAAAGTAGCTACATTTGCATCCTGTCTTATTTGAACACAGGTCTTTCGGAGGGGGGTATAAGTTTAGCAAAAAAATGCAGAGGGTAATTAGAGGGGGATAGACTATGGGGTAGCTGAATAAAGGGGGGGGCAGAGTTTAGGAATTAAAGACTAAGGACCTATCACACCTAAGGTTTAATGCATGTACACATTTTAGCTATTGTCTTAAAATGCGATAATTCACATCTGTGTGATGCATTGTTTTGTTATTTTTGGGGCCTTGTATAGATTATTGAAGACAATAGCAGTGCATAAAATATGTAAAAAACTTTTTGTGCTGCTACTAGAAAAGATGGGACTATAGGAACAGCAGCACACACCTTGCTTTACCACTAGCAAAAAAACAGCAAACAGAAAATTGATGTTGCGCTAATCACAATAATGCCACAGACATTCCAAAATAAATAATGAGATGAGAAGACAATAGATAATACACCATAACATAATCAGTAAATGGAAGGAATATGGGAGTAAAGGGAAAGGTGAAATAATAAAGGTCCAAAATGAGGACCAAAAGGTGTAACAGACAATAAATCGTGACCGTGGGCAAAACGCACAGAAATGATCAGGGAGAAATAAAATATTAACTAAATCACAGTAATAGTGGGACATATGAGTCCGTCACAACATAAATGAAATAACGTGAATACAACTGGTGAGAAAGTGGAGCAAAATGTGAAAAATACAAAATGAAGTGCTGAATATTAAAAGTGGACAAACCACTTATCACAGAAGAATGACAATAACAACGCACAGTGAGGCCAAAAATTGTGACCATGTGACTAAAGAATCATACCACAATGTGCATCAAAAGGCCGTGTAACATAAAACGACTAATAAGTGACCATATAAATACTATAAATAAATGTGGCAAACATATATAGAGTGCAACTAGTATAAAACAAAATGGTGATATAAACGCACAGTGAAACCAAATGAATATATTACTGTGCAACGTAAAATACATAAGAAATAAATAACGTGACTAAAAAAATTGTAAATACGACATAAAGTCCATGTGCAAAAACGTCCAACAAAAACGCATTAAAAAAAAAAAAAAACACAACGTGGATAGGTAAATGATTGTTGAATCCCACACCAGCTAAATTGCCTCCTCATCTCCACTCCCAGACCCCAAGGGGCCAAAAGGCTTTCAGGACACTCACGGCAAGGGGGCTCTTTAAGTGGAATCCCAAACGGCAATGTAGGGATGATATCTCCCTCAATGGAGGACCACACTGTTCAGCGGGTGGTAATATATCTTTCACCTTTGGACACGGAAATCCGCCATCGCACAGAACTCCTTCCAGGGGTTCGTTGGACCAGAAAAAACAGCCAGCTCTCAGCACTCCCAGGGAGACAAGAAAAAGTGCTTCCATAGTGCTATATTGTAAATGAATCAAATTTATTGTAAAGACAAATGCGCACTTACATAGGAACAGATTAGGGGGTGAAATCACGTGACAGTGATGTAACGCGTAGGTCGGAGAGTGGAATGTGATGATGTCATTTCTGACACAAACGGCTGCAGCCATATTGGTACACCCAGTACACCCATATCAACACGTGATTGATGCCTTGTTTGATCTGTTCCCATGTAAGTGCACATTTGTCTTTACAATAAATTTGATTCATTTACAATATAACACTATGGAAGCATTTTTTCTTGTCTCCCTGGGAGTGCTGTGAGCTGGTTGTTTTTTCTGGTCCAACGAACCCCTGGCAGGAGTTCTGTGCGCTGGCGGATTTCCGTGTCCAAAGGTGAAAGATATATTACCACCGCTGAACAGTATGGTCCACCAGAGTGGGAGATATCATCCCTACATCACCGTTTGGGATTCCACTTTAAGGGCCCCTGCAGTGAGTGTCCTGAAAGCCTTTTGGCCCCTTGGGGTCTGGGCATGGAGGTGAGGAGGGAATTTAGCTGGTGTGGGATTCAACAATCGTTTTTTTTTTTATGCGTTTTTGTTGAACGTTTTTTTTTAGTCACGTTATTTATTTCTTCATTGTGTTATTGTATTTTACGGAGCACAGTAATATATTCATATGTCCCACTATTACTGTGATTTAGTTAATATTTTATTTCTCCCTGATTATTTCTGTGCGTTTTGCCCACGGTCACGATTTATTGTCTGTTACACACCTTTTGGTCCTCTTTTTGGACCTTTATTCACGTTTCCCTTCACTCCCATATTCCTTCCATTTACTGATTATGTTATGGTGTATTATTTATTGTCTTCTTATCTCATTATTTGTTTTGGAATGTCTGTGGCATTATTGTGATTAGCGCATCAATTTTCTGTTTGTTGTTAATAGCGGTGCATAAAAATTATTTATAACGCACACAAAACTATGAATTCAACCTAACAGGTTTTCAGTGACATAGTGTGGGGTTAAGTGTTAAAATGGATCTAAAGGCAGAAGTTTTTTTTTACCTTAATGCATTCTATGATAGGAAGGTAAAAAACCTTCTGCAAGCAGTTCCCCCTTATACTTACCTGAACCTGATCTCAATCCAGTGATGTGCACGGGAGCAGAAAGCTCTCTCAGCTCTCTCCTTCCTCAATAGCTCACACACAGCAGCAGGAGCCATTGGAATCAGCCTGTGAGGAGGGAGCAGGGGTCCAAGCTGAGCCGTACTTATGGACACAGAGAACTGGCTTGGGTGCGAGCATGCACAAGTGCCCCTATAGCAAGCAGGTTGCTATGGGGGCACTCTGCAGGGAGTAGGGGACAGGAGAAGATGATCAGGGCATTTTGCAAAACCATTGAACAGAGCAGGTAAGTATGACATATTTGTTATTTAAAAAAAATAAAACTGTGCTTTTGGAATCACTGTAAGAAAGAGACAGAATAAAAAAACTAAGAGCTTGTGGACACAATGTGAAAGATAGATAGCTGCTGTGAAGTTTAAGGGACAAGTGACAGTGAGGCCTGAAGTTATTTTTTTAGGCAGGGCATCATTTGCTATGGCTTGCGAGGCATAGTGTGGGTTTGGTGTTCTAAGTGACTTTTACTCTGATTATGACAGGTTCCCTTTAACATTCAAGCACATTTCCAAGAGGTTTCTGAAAAGTTAAAACACCCTGCAAACTATGCCGATATTTTAAAATGTAACTTTTTTAACCTTTAGCCAGCCAAGGCATTTATTGAGTGGCTTGTAAATCTGACTGCTAAGCATACTTTGTTGTACTCATTATTCTTACAGAGGACAGGCAGCCTCCATCAATTACTGCCAACAAAGGTCTCACCTTGGATGAAAACTCCTGGAAGAAAATCACCACACAGCAACTGTCAGCCACAGATCAGGACAGCGAACCCAGAGAGCTTCTGTTTCACATCACTAGACAACCTAGTCTGGGACGCCTGGAGCACGTGGGTTCCCCAGGTACAGTTTCTCCTTTTCAGGTTAAAGCAGGGGAATGCGAAACACATTCTTAAAATGAGTTGTCTTAAATTCTAGATGATTTATTTGGTCTTAGTTGATTTTAAAGGCCAGCTCTATTCAAAACGGATACTGTAGTTGATGCAGTGGTTTAAATCACCTACAGGTAAACTATGTCATACAGATTCTAGTAATTATTATTATTATACAGGATTTATATAGCGCCAACAGTTTGCTCAGCGCTTTACAATATAAAGGGAGACAATACAGCAACAATACAGTTCAATACAAGAGAATTAGGAGGGCCCTGCTCCTTGGAGCTTACAATCTAAGAATTGTTATTATCTTCAGCATTTAGTATCTCCACCTCATCCCATATGGCCATAACAAAGATGCCTGTAGAAGTTGGAAATCCAATGATGTGTTCATGCTGTATTATAGAGAATACATCGAGCAATCATATAGCTGTAGCAGGTTTGTGGAACTGTAAAATCTGCCCATGTGCAATTCAACTAAAACAACAATATCACTTTTAGGTAGACATGGCCTTTAATGTAAAATGTGAATAAACCTAGTGAAGATATAGTGTAGTTCCTGTGCGCTACCACTTAGGTTGGAGGAAATAATTGATCAAAATATTTATACACTATACTGCCAAAAGTATTGGGACACCTGCCTTTACAGGCACATGAACTTTAATCCCAGTCTTAGTCTGTAGGGTTCAATATTGAGTTGGCCCACCCTTTGCAGCTATAACAGCTTCAACTCTTCTGGGAAGGCTGTCCACAAGGTTTAGGAGTGTGTCTGTGGGAATGTTTGACCATTTTCCAGAAGCGCATTGTGAGGTCATGCACTGATGTCGGACAAGAAGGCCTGGCTCAGTCTCCACTAATTCATCCCAAAGGTGTTTTATCGGGTTGAGGTCAGGAATCTGTGCAGGCCAGTCAAGTTCCTCCACCCCAAACTTGCTCATCCGTGTCTTTATGGACCTTGCTTTGTGCACTGGTGCGCAGTCATATTAGCACAGGAAGGGGCCATCCCCAAACTGTTCCCACAAAGTTGGGAGCATGAAATTGTCCAAAATGTCTTCATATGCTGATGCCTAAAGAGTTCCCTTCACTGGAAATAGGTGCCAAGCCCAACCCCTGAAAAACAACCCCACACATAACATCCCCCCTCCACCAAACTTTGCACTTGGCACAATGCAGTCAGGTAAGTACCGTTCTCCTGGCAGCCGCCAAATCAAGACACATCCATCGGATTGCCAGACAGAGAAGTGTGATTCGTCACTCCAGAAAACACGTCTCCACTGCTCTAGAGTCCAGTGGCGGTGTGCTTTACAGCTCTACATCCAACGTTTTGCATTGCACTTGGTAATGTAAGGCTTAAATGCAGCTGCTCGACCATGGAAACCCATTCCATGAAGCTCTCTATGCACTGCTGTGCTAATCTGAAGGTCACATGAAGTTTGGAAGTCTATAGCTATTGACTCTGCAGAGAGTTGGCGACTTCTGCGCACTGTGTGCTTCAGCATGCGCTGACCTCACTTTGTCTATTTACGTGGCCTACCACTTCGTGGCTGAGTTGCTGTTGTTCCCAGTTGCTTCCACTTTGTTATAATACCACTAACAGTTGACCGTGGAATATTTAGTAGCAAGGAAATGGACATACTGCACAGGTGGCAACCTATCACAGTACCACACTTGAATTCACGGAGCCCCTGAGAGCGACCCATTCTTTCACAAATGTTTGTAGAAGCAATCTGCATGCACAGGTGCTTGATTTTATACACCTGTGGTCATGGAGGTGATTGGAACACCAAAACCCAATGATTTGAAGGGATGTCTTTTGGCAATATAGTGTATATGGATATGAGGGAATGTTAAAGCGATTCTAAGGGCTCGTTCACACTTGACTGTTTTTCCAACTCTTGCCAAATGCCCCTCTAGCATTTGACATGCGCTGGTACGGCGTTTGCGGAGCATTTTTAGCGCTTCGCAAACACCGCATGCACGGTTTAGCGGCGGTTGCTAGGCGTTTGCCAAGCATTAAAAATGCCCCACAAACACCTATAATGAAGTTTGAATGGTGTTAGAGCTCCAGAGCGGCACCATAGACTTGAATAGGAGGCTTCAACTCCTCCTGACTCGACCAGAGTTGTCCGTTTTGCCGTGACGCAACGCGACGCTAACGCTCCCGTTTGAACAGCACCATGTGCTGCAAAGTGCAGAAGTTTCCCAGGCGTTTGGTAAACGGTAAAAAAAAACACACTTCACAAACGCCTGTCTGCCGCTTGCAAACAAGGCTAGTGTGAACGTAGCCTTATGGTTAGTTTTTTTCTTTTTGTAAAGTAACAAACATATCTATACTTATCTGCTGTGTGCAGTGGTTTTGCACAGAGCAGCCTGGATTCTCCTCTTCTCGGGTCCCCTGAAGGCTTTCCTAGCTCCTCCTGTTTGTGGGGTGCCCCCACAGTAAGCAGCTTGCTATGAGAGCACCCACTGCCCTGTGTGTCCATTCACACATGGAGTGTGGCTTGGCCCCGCCCCCCCCTCTCTCTTCATTGGCTGACTGGCTGTGATTGACAGCAGCAGGAGCTAATGACTCCTGCTTGCTGTCTCAGCCAGTGAGGAGGCAGAGACCCAGGACAGCCGAGGCTGGCATTCACATTGGTGGATCGCTATGGGGCTCAGGTAAGTATTGAGGGGGCTGGGGGAGCTGCACACAGAAGGATTTTTACCTTCATGCATAGAATACATGAAGGTAAAAAACCTTCAGCCTTTACACCCACTTTAATCTTTGGAGTAGGTGCTCACATCAAAACGTGTTCCCAAATGGAAATTTTATATGCAGGTGACTGTGGCGCTCGCTCCTATATGTGTCATTCTACTGTTGTTAACTAATTAATTGACATACTAATTAGGTGCAAATAAAAAAAAATTGAAAAACTAATAATAAAATATTTTACCCCTAGGGTAATAGCATCAGGATATTGCTATTTGTATATCACTGTATAATTTTTATGATTTACAGCTTCATTGTTGTTCACAGTACCCAGTAGGGATAAAATATTTTATTCTTAGTTTTCCTTTTTTTTTTTTTCTTCCACCTAAACAGTATGTCAATTAGTTAACAGCATTAGGATGACACAGTGAGCTAATATAGGAGTGAGCACCACATATACCTATTTATAAGAAATCCTAGTTAAGGCTTATGTTTTAAAAATATTGTAAGTATATCTACACATATACCATATTTGTATATCTGCATCTTTACAGTCATAAAATTAACCCTGAATGGCAAAAACAAGGTGTTCACTTTAATGCTCAATCCCGCAACATCACCTTATTTCTAAAGTCTTTAACCACTTGCCCTCCTGAGGATTTACCCCCCTTAATGACCAGGCCTCTTTTTGCTACTCGGCGCTGCACTAATTCAACTGATAATTGCACGGTCATACAATGCTGCACCCAAACGAAATTTACGTCCTTTTTTTTCACACAAATAGAGCTTTCTTTCGGTGGTATTTGATCACCTGTGCGCTTTTTATTTTTCACGCTATAAACAAAAAAAGACCGAAGATTTTGAAGAAAAACAATATTTTTTACTTTCAGCTATAAAAAATATATAGTAAACTCAAAGTTAGTTATAAATTTAGGCCTAAATGTATTCTGCTACATGTTTTTGGTAAAAAAAAAATCCCAATAAGTGTATATTGATTGCTTTGTGTGAAAGTTATAGCATCTACAAACTATGGTATAGATCAGCAATGGGCAAAATACGGCCCGGCGGACCTTTTAATCCGGCCCGGCGGACCGTGGCAAACATCAGCTGTCAGAATGTGTGTAGGCGGGGCAGCGTGAGGAACGTGAGGGGAGCTAGGCTCCTCTCACAGTCCGCCCTGAAGACCGGAACGGCGCGGGAACACGGCGAGAGGAACGCGCGGAGCAAAGGTAAGTGAATTGACACAGGGGGGACTTGGGGACTTAATATGGGGGATGAATTAATATGGGGAATGAATTACTATAGGGGGGATGAATTACTATATGGGGGATGAATTACTATGGGGGATGAATTACTATATGGGGGGATGAATTACTATGGGGGATGAATTACTATGGGGGATGAATTACTATAGGGGGGATGAATTACTATGGGGGATGAATTACTATATGGGGGATGAATTACTATATGGGGGATGAATTACTATGGGGGATGAATTTCTATATGGGGGATGAATTATTATGGGGGATGAATTACTATGGGGGATGAATTACTATATGGGGGATGAATTACTATGGGGGATGAATTACTATATGGGGGATGAATTACTATGGGGGATGAATTACTATATGGGGGATGAATTACTATGGGGGATGAATTACTATATGGGGGATGAATTACTATGGGGGATGAATTACTATATGGGGGATGAATTACTATGGGGGATGAATTACTATATGGGGGATTAATTACTATGTTTACTATGGGGGAATATTACTATACTTACTATGGATGATACATACACATCATTCATCTACTCTTGGTCCGGCCCTCGGGTCCAATATATGAACCCATTGCGGCCCTCAAGTCAAAAAGTTTGCCCACCCCTGGTATAGATACTGCAATTTACGCCATTTTTTTGCTATACAGCGCTGTGCTAGTTTAACAGACAATTGTGCGGTCATGCAATACAGTACATAAATGAAATTTATGTCCTTTTTTTTCACACAAATAGAGCTTTCTTTTGGTGGTATTTGATCACCTGTGCACTTTTTATTTTTGCCGCTATAAACAAAAAAATGTTTGAAGAAATTTTTTTAAAAAAAAAACAATATTTTCTCATTTTGGTCATAACAAATATTCAAAAAAACTAACATTTTGCCATAAATGTAGGCCAAAATGTATTCTGCTACATGTTTTTGGTTAAAAAAAAATCCCAGTAAGTGTATATTTATTGCTTTGTGTGAAAGTTATAGCGTCTACAAACTATGGTATACAGT